GGATCTGGCACAAGCCGAACACACCGAAGGCTGCCATGTGCTCTGATGACTGCACAGGCTGGTGTAGGACAGAAGAGAGACGGTGCAGAGTTAAAGATTTTCTTCCCATCATCTGACAATCACTTTCTTTTGAACTTGGTTTAAAAATATCCTGAAGTGACAGGAGTCAGTGTTGTTTACCTGGAAGCCAACAAAAGAGATCTGCATGGAGAGGATGGTGCCCAGGCAGTAGACCGTGCAGTAAGCCACATAGATGCGGTGGGAGAATCGGCCTGTCAGCATCAGCACCAGGACGTGGAGGGGGATGAGGTTGATCAGGAACACGTAGCCACCCCAGGAGGAAACCTAAACACATACACAGACCTTAACACACCTCTGCAAGCTGTGAAATAGTTCGGTCCAACAGAGACTGGCAGATCTCCTCACCATGTAGAAGTAGGCCAGTGCGCACATGGACGACCAGTACACTGAGCCCGTTTTCACAGCCTTGATCCACATGTAGTAGGTCAACAACATGCAGAAGATGGCAATACCTGCATAAGGAAGCACAGAGGGGTTACAGCAGCAACTCTGGTCGTGTTTTCTTTAAACAACATCGCTACGCTCGTCAGTTTAAACACAGTGAGGTATCAACTAACCATTACTCTCGTTATCAAAGGTCTTTAAAACATTAAAAAACAGTAAAGGATGCCCATCAGCACATCCTAACGCCTAAGCCAACAGTCCAAAACCCGTCACACTGTTTACCAGGAAAAGCAGCACGTTCTCACATATGAGAACCTTTGTCGTTTACCTTCGTTATCATAGGAACCAGCAACAGAACGAGAGATATAACCAGGCACCACTGCAATCATAGCGGCCGCCAGGAGCCCAGCGCCTGCATCCTAAAGAGACAAAAGAGTGACTGCAGTGTGAACATTTCTACTGCTAAAAGAATATACACTCAGTTTTGCTGTAATCATCTTAGAAGAGTGTTAATTAAACGATCGATTTACTTTGGAGGCTGCAGTTTTTAGTAGAATGCATTATATTGACTGGCGATTCTATTATCCATTTCATTTATACCAATAAGGGCAGGTTAAATAACAGAAGCATCCATCTGTATGATGCATTACACTTTAGCAGCACCTCAAACTGCCAAGTTTGTGGCAGCACTAGAAATGATCAACTTATCACAAGGGAAAATGCATTCAGCAGAAAACCCCGTCCTCTAACGTCACCGGGATTCTTAATGAAGAATTGTGTATGTATATGATTATGTGATTTACCTTCAGCTCCTTGGTGAAGTGGTAGGTGACTATCGCGGTGAACGAGGAGAACAGCGGAGCCAGGAAGACGCAGACGTTTCGGATGTCGATGGTGATGTGGAAAAAATGTAGGACGTGGTACAGGACGGCAGACGTGATCATCAATCCTGGTGAGGGAGAGGAGATGAGGACAATCAGTCACTGACGACACTCTTCTGAAACCTTATGAAACACCTGAGCTGCTCTACTCTGACGATCAAACAACCCAGAATAGAGTCTCTGTAAGTGTCACGCTGTTCTCCAGCCATTTCTTCTGATTCTTACCTGGATAAATGGTGCCACCGATGATCCTCCCCAATGGGTACCATGCTCTGTCATCAAACCAGTTGTGAAACTTATAAAATCCTTCTTCTGCCAGGAAGCGGGTGGTACGGTAGTTGAAGTACCTGAAGGTGAGACATGAGTTTAAGGAGGACAATCTAATTTAAAAAAAGAAAAAGAAAAACCTGACATAAGCGGCACTTACGGATCAAACTCATGGATGACACTTTCAAACCTCAACACGGAAAAAAGTCTGGTGGAGAACGCTGCAGAGGAGAAACACAGGGATCATATTCAGACATGAGAGATGTAACACTGCTGCCGATTCATCAATCAGTTAAAGTGACAACATTCTACATTAATGTTCATCGTGGCCTCATTCATACAGACCCACCACAGTGACAGACAGAGCCACGCTACACACAAGACATTAGTTGTTCACGTGAGACTGGACAGCACATCAAGTTATATATATATATCAGACATAACAATGGACCAATAAACACAATCTAAACTGACCTAATAGTTTATGATTTCCACCAATCAATGAAAAATTACGACTTAACCAGAAAAGATCCCAACAGCTGTGATTGAGCTCCAGACTCAACCTGAGGATGGTTTAACTTCAGCTGATAAACTCTGTGTTTCAGCTCACCTGTGACCTGCTCTGAGAGCCCGACCCAGACCGATTCTGTCTCTTTGTAGATGATCATTTCTAAATGTAAGTACTTAATGAAGTCACCAGTGTGGTTGTTCATGTGGATCCTGCTGCTGTCTGATAGTTAAATAAACGTGGAGGAAAGACGCCAACAAACAGCTGGAAGCAACAACCCAACTTCAGCTTCTGTTAATGTCTTGTAAAAAACAGCTTACATTCATTTATCATTATGGATGTTTCTGTTTTTAGCCAAATTTATTTGAAGTTATAGAGCAACAGGAATGAGAAAGGTGTGTAATGATTCTGGCAACAAACATTGTCTTTTGGATCAGATCAGATTAGATAGAACTTTATTGACTTTTGCTCATTGTGATGTTTTTTGGACCAATATTGGTGCTGAAATGTGGAAAAAGACCTCCCCCAAATCACTTCACACAACTCAAAGTACCCTTATCAGTGTGTATTCATCTGTTAATGTGACAGCAGGTAGTTCAGACTCGTCACCAGGGCCGACCCGGTACGATCGCAGACCGAGCTTTAACAGTAAAGTCAGTAGAGTTCTCATTTAGACCCAATGAGGCCAACACGTTCTACTGCGGTCAGATGAAGGGAAAGGAGTTTGAAAGGGTTGAAATGTGTTCTTTTGTTTGTTGTCTGCAGAAGACTCACAGAGGACAGCAGCCATAGACAGGATGAGCAGCTTCAGCAGTGTGTCCTGCTTCTCATAGGACAAACGCAGGAAGCCCAGCTTGGTCATTTTGGCGAGGTTAGGGACAGCTCACCGTACTACCTGATGGAAGGAAGGAAGATCTGTAAGATGAAAAGCACTGCAGATCCATTTTCAGCACAACACTGATTAATAAACGTTCATTCAGGGTTTTGTTTTTGTTAATGCCTGCCCAGTAGAATCTCTTCTAAGAAGCCAGTCAGTGCTCCAGCTGTGGGGAATGAGCTCCAGTGTTCAGCCCAACCAGATAAGGCCACGCACTAAGATGTGGCGTCAGGAACCAGGAAGCAGCTCCGTGGAAGCCCTGTGCAGGGATCTGTGCCAGTGTTCTTCACATTTTTTGCATCAAAAAGTGCTATGCAAAGCAGAGACTCTAAGCATTCAGCTGCACGGTGATGTTTTTTAAATGCTAACTTTCAAAGCATCAGAGCGAACCTGAGAGGTGCTGACAGTCAACCAGCCGTCTTCACATCACAGGGCGAGAAAACGAACCGCAGCTAATGCGTGTTAACTGGCTATTAACACGGACGACGTGCATTTTTAACACGCATGCAAGCCACAGTTTGAATCGCTCAGTATGTTATAGCTGGTCCGTATCAGGCCGGCTAATGCTGATGCTTCCATCCAGTTAAAAGTATGAGTAGCTAGCGAGGCTAACTTGCTAGCCGCCGTTTAATGAAAACCCCAATCACGCGCCTCTTCTTTGACTCGTTGTACAGCTACCAGTGACTCCTTCAGACATGGCAGCAGGACAGCAGTCTCAAATAAAAAGTCCTAAAGAAGCTAACAGCTTTAATATGTAATGTTCAGTCAGACTCACCCGCTCCGCTCCTGCTACTCATACACTTTTCACACACAACCTTCACCGTAAACTAAGCCCGCCTCCACCACGCCGCGGTGCGCGTTTATTGGTCGAGCGTCAGTCCACGGTAATCTCAGTTGAATGTGATTGGTTAGTTGGCTGTCACTCACATTTGGTTCCCTTCATTGCCGCTGAGGTCTAGTGACGTGTCCTTACGGAGGAAAGGAAGCGTGTCGCCCCCTGCTGGTGTAAAATAATACCACCTCACTTCATAAGCCCCCAGTTACAGTCAAATATATTCATAGCCTCCCATTAAAGTAGAAAAAAACAGCTTCGGTCACTGAAAAAAGTTAAAATTGGCAAAAGTAATAATGAATACAAATTTAATCAAAATCATGACATTGTTTCTGAATTGTGGTTCAACAGAAATATTTAAAGAAAAAAAAAAACAACAAACAAGCACAATGGGACCCATAAACTAATATTTAGTTGAACAACCCTTTGAGCCAATCACTGCCATCAGGTGTTTTCTGTAACTCTCAGTCAGACTTGTGCACCTGTTGACAGGTATTCTGGCCCACTGCTCATCAGCAAAGGGCTCTCATTTTTCCAGGACAGCTTTTATTTTTATTTTTCTAATTATTATTTTCAACCACAATTCAAAAGCAATGTCTTGTTTCTAGCTAAATTATAATTTATCAAATTTTTAATTATTATTGCTTTTTTCAGTTTCTAGCTATTTCAGTGACTCTTGTGAATTTTGCCTTTTCTTTAATGGACGGGGATTAATAAGTTTGAGGATGACCAAAAGCAAACAGTAAATATTACAGCATCAGTTATTAAAAACTTAAAAAAAAAAAAAAAATAAGAATTAAAAAAAATGTTGTTTTTTTTTTTTTTAATAATAAAACAACATTGAAAAAATACATTGAAAAAAAGTTATAAATATTTTTGATTTATATTTCTCCTTTTATTTGCTTTTTCTTTTATGGATTCATTTTTGATTAACATTGCTTTGTATTGCCACATTATTTATTCTTTTTTTTCCACTCTTATTTTCTTATTCTTTAATTGATTTATTTTTGTAATTTGGCACCCTCACTACTCCATACCTACCAGCATTAAACCTGGAAAAAAAAACAACAACAAATGTAATATATCGATCACTTTCCGCTCAGTTAAAACACCAACTCGTGTTTTTGACTGACTTTAAAATGTCCTGGAGGAAAACCCTGAACACAGAGATCAAATATTGAATACTGACCAATTTTATTGAAATTAGACTTATTACTTTTACAAAACCTCACTCACAAATATCAGTCTGAACAAACACTATGCTCTTCTTACAATAATTGCACACCGTTTCAGAATCGTGGCCCCTCTCCACAGCTACGAGCTCCGATGAGTGAGGGACGGGTCGGGTCAGGTCAGGTCAGGGGGGGCGTTGCTTTGTAGTTGTAGTGGTGGACTTCTGAACATTCAGGAGGTATTAACATTATATACAGCAGGAAAACCAAACAGCTGATGGTCTTTGGAGATCAGTTATATGTGCATCAGCTCTCTTGTGGGGGGTTTGTTAGGACGAGTTAACTACACGACTCCTTTGTTTGTTACAGAGCTTAGCATTGTGGTGGTGAAACAAAACACAGATGCAGCAGTTTGGCAGTGTCATCTCACCTATCGCTACCGTCACACCAGCTGAAAAAGGCTCAGGCAGCTTTTTCCTTTGCTGGTGTCATCAGACGCTGAAGGGAGATTCGAATTCAGGATCAAGCAACACTTTTGTCAGCACACACGAGTAACTTTCCATTTCAAAAGGTCACCGTTCCTTTTGTGTAGCAGCTCCTGAAGTGACGTTTAAATTCTACTAAAAACAAAGCAAAAAAATCCTCCCTTTAGAACTGTACAAGGTTGTCAATGGAGCTGCGAGGACACGAGAACGTGACGGAGGAACACGCCGTTGTGCAAGAAAGCATTCAATCTGTGAGGAAGGAACGTGACTTGCAACATTGAGCCGTCGGTAAAACACGACTGTGCTTTGCTTCTGAACGCAAACGAGCCCCTTCAGAGTTAAAAAATAAAATAAAATCCTTCTCAAGTCACAAGTTTGCGCAAACATATTAAAACTACGTGATTTCTTGTGCTGTAATTTATTAAAGGAGAGTCACTCAAATGGCACATTATACAAAAAAAAAAAAAAACAGAAAACAACGAAAGAAAAATCACAAAAGAAAAGAAGTCTAGAGCTGAGTATATCATGTGTTTCGAGTGTGAGGCACAGGGCAGTCGATTTTTGTGTCACACTTAAAATGTGTCTGGCGGGTGCTGCGAATGAATAACCGAAGGGCCAGAGATCAGATAAAAATGTGTAAACCCTTTGTCTTAAACCACACATCATCATCATCATCATCATCATCATCATCATTAAGGGCAATCCTTCTGGAAGAATCACGCCGAGGGAAGCCACTCGCCGGCTGCCATCCAGCCTCCTTCGAGCGGATCCTTCACTGGGCGGGCAGCGGCCTCTGGCGGCTCGGGGAGGTGTGGGGCGAGGACAGCCTCTCCGACGAGGCCGACGACGTCAGGGACGACTGCAGGTGGACAGTCTTGTGGAACAGCTTGTTGCTGATCAGCACGACCAGGGAGAAGAGGCGCAGCTGGAAGTGGCTGGAAGAGCGGAAACATGATCAGCGACTCGTGCAGCGAAACTAACCGTTCTTCAACAAGTCGTCTGTACGTGACACTCACTACAGCTTTGTTGGTGTCTTTGCCTCATTAGCGCTGATGATGAACAGAGGGAAGAGGATGGAGAACAAGCAGCCACTGGTAGAAAAGAAAGATCACATATGATATACAGGAAAAGCAGCT